TTATTATTATTATTATTATTATTATTATTATTATTATTATTATTATTGTTGTTGTTGTTGTTGTTGTTGTTGTTTGCAGAGGAGTTTGTAAATCAATATTCCTTTAGTACTTTGCTTGACCTCCAAGCTCTTGCTGAGCGATTGGTGTCACGTTCATTCAGTATAAAGTCCCACCCTTTCATCTATTTTGATGTATACCATTTTTCGCATTTGCTACAAATTGGCTTTGTTCATTAGTGGTGAGGTGATTAGTGCTTTTCATAATTCTTGGCCAGAAAAAAAGGGAAAAATTGACATGGTGTGAAGCAAACTGGTTGTCTTAAGGATTATTTTTATTTCCAAGAATGTCTCTAGGCCTTACATAGTTTCCATGAGCATTTCTAAAAAATAGTAATAATGAGTAACTGTAACTTAATTCTTTGTTTGGCATTGGCCCAGGGATGGGATCCGACCAGTATAAGTACCGGTTCTGTTGCTCTGTGTTGTGTGCGCATGCGCGCCCGGACAGCTGAGCAGCGCTGCATCCAAGTGCGCAGCAGTTGGAAAAGCCCCCTTTTCCCTGCTTTTTCAACCACAGCTGTGTCACGCAAAGCAGCTGCGGTTGAAAAAGCAGGAAATAAAGGTCAGGTAAGAGCCGGGCGGACAGGTGGGCCAAAACAGCAGCACATATAGAACCGGTTCTATGTATGCTCTCTGTCTGCTGCTCTTCAGAACTACTGGTTCTACAGAAGTGGATAGAACTGGTAGAATCCCACCCCTGCATTGGCCTCTGTCTAGAAAAAAAAAGACAAAGGTAGAATACCATATTTAGGATTGAGATTCTGGAGAGCTTGAAGACATTGATGGAGAGCAACTCAATAATTTTGCCTTCTGATAAATAGAAGGATTGTTTGGTGACTGGATCTGCCACCATAGCCATAATATTATGTACATCACAGTTGCTTAGACCTCACATAATTTAGTACGGGTATAGAAAAGCCTCAGTCTTTTTAATACATTATGCTAAGCCACAGTTTATTTAACCAGTTTACTGAATAAACCACAATTGGTTAGATTTATACAATAATTATAAACATGGCTTCCAAACCACAGTTGTTTCATGTAATATACCAAGCCAAAATCAAATAAGCTACATTTTTGGCTCACTGTGATGTGTGAGACCAACTAGTGCTTCTCTGGAGAGGCCTCTTCTTCCTCTTATACAGACTAGAAGGAATAAGAGCAACAAAACCATCTCTCTGTACCTGGACATATCATATAGGCCAGGAGTGTCCAACCTTAGCAACTTTCAAGACTACTATTTCCACAAACATTTCCAATTTCCACAAACATTTACTGAAGAACACTAAGATTCATATAGTCACTTTCTATTTATGAATTATGATTTTTTTTCTACTGAAGAAGGAAAATATGTGAGAGACTAAAAATGAGAAGCCCCACAGAACATGTCATGTATGGTGGATACATGTGCTGCCAAGGTCAATATGAGGTTGGACTGACTCCCCTGTAGCTAAGATTTGGCCAAAAGATGATTTAGCAACATGTTGAACTCAGCCAATTTTTCAAAATCTGTTTTTCATTCATGATGACACAACATTCTTTCCTTGTTTATGCCATTCCTTCTCCCCTTTCCCATGTACAAACACACATCACTTACACTGTTCTTAGTTCTAATCTGAACCTTAACTCCAAACTATAAAGTTGAACTTAAGGAACTGAATTAACTCAAACTTGACCAGCGCAAATGAATGATCAACGTAAGAACCATTGTGGCTTCCTAGCAAATGTGCTTTGGTGATACTTGTGCTCATTTTGGAAGATGCATATTTGTTTCATTCATGCTTTATATTGTTGAATCAACGCACTTGAAATCTATCAGTGCACTTCCTTCAACAAATGGGCCACTGTCATAACGTCAAAGAAATTAAGATTTCATAGTGTAGCTTTTTTTCTTTCCAGCATTCCCTCATCTAGAAAATGGCATGGAGGATTAAAGAAAAAAAATATGCCTCTAATGAGTAAGGTTTTGACAGAAAATGCATGTATCATTAGGTGAAATGAAGCAGCACTTTAAACAGAAGAGAATGACCTGAGGTGGATTCAGGCCACAATTCTACCTACACTTTCTAATCTGCCTATTCAGCAACTGCATTGAGTCTACACACAGTTCTAGAAGAGAACCTTAAGCAATGCATTGTGAAAGGCATATAGTGGCCGCACACATAAACATGCTACCTTAAAGCAAATATCCATGTAGAGAATTTCTAGGGTTGTCCAACTTGAACACTGTCTGCAACCCTTTAAACAAATCCCCGCACAGCCCTGAGGAAATTATTCCTGTAGAAAAGCTCAGCTTTTGAGAATGAAATATCCTTGTTCATTTTTTATGGCCAAGTTTCATTCAGCTAGAACATTCTTTTAGTCTGTAACCTGGACACATCTAAACTGAAATTTGTTTTGAAAGTAGAATTCCAATTTTTCAGATCAAAACAAAATATTAACATAAGCACTCAAGTACTTCCAATACACACCATTTTCAAAGTAGATAAAATGCAAAATTAATACAGTAATGTAACAATTATAAGTGTAATTGATGGGGGATATCTTTATGAAATACTGAGATCTTAAACTGAAAAATTATATGAATGCTGTTTCCTGCATTCCAGACAAGAACCTGTTTTAACTTCCATATCCTTCTTAAAGAAACCCGAATATTTACTATAACTATCGTAAATATATATTTTACTGTGTGCACATTCAAGACAGAAATCTTGTTTTTTACAAGATATATCCTAATTCAAATACTACATATACCTTCAAAACAAGCAGAAAAATGCAGGATCCACTGGAATTATTATAATTTAGATTTAATGTAACTGCCTGCTTCAGTGTATTTGCTTATAGATTGTATATGCCTACCTCTAGGTATACAGAAGGGAAAGAAACATACCTAATTAATCATTCCAATTAATACTTCCCTTGATAAAAAATTTCTTACCTGAATTTTAGTCAATGAATCAGATGAAGAAAAGTACAGATGAAAAGACCAGCATTTTTAAATTCTCATCCTACTCATTCAGAATAATATAGATATATTTACCCAACTTAAGCCTTTCCCGAGCAAACTCCCATTTGCTGGCCTCATAAGGAAGCCGTTCACATTGTTCATCTAAGGGGACTTCTTCAGGATCCATTATGATTGACAAATAGTCTGACTTTATTTCGGAGGAAGAAGGCTAGAAAAGAATGTTTAAATTCCATTATCACTTTTAGGACGTAAAAGCAATTTTGACAAAGTTGTTCTGATTATGGTCAGAAATATGGTAGATTAATTATCTATGATTGCAGAAGCAACTCACATTACAGATGTATATTTTCTGTGCCAAAACACAATATTCTAAAATTTCTTCACTTTAATTTTGCTATGGCCACATTGTACCCCTATCTCTCACTTACATATTGGATGCTTAATTTGTGTCTGTGTGTGGTTCTTCTTTTTATTAAACCCATATGAAAAAAAATCCTCAATAATAGCCCTGTGATAGAGATTTGAGCCTGTATTTTCAAGCAAGGGTATTTTGAGAAAATGACTAACTTTGACCCCTAAAAATAGATTTGGCTGACAGCCATTCACAAAACAAAATTCTGGCATATGCAACAGATAAGTTCAGCTGTCAATGTTTGTTAAAAAAAATGAGAAAGGGAGAGAGAGGGACCAAATGTGGTTTAAAAGTTGTGCAAGGCTTAAATGTAATCTGCAAAACATTAATCAGTAACATTTTGTGCATGCATTTTTCAAATGTTCAAGAATTTGCATTTCCCTTTGGACTTCTGCATTCACGATCTTGTTTCCCCATAATCATCGCTAAAACTAATTTAGAATCACTAGCCTGTAGGAAGGATTAAAACTGTAATCTTATATGTACTTATTTCTGAAGAAGCTTAACTGATTTCGGAGAGATTTATGCATGAGTATCTATATATATATATGATCGAGCTAATTAACCTTGATTCAGAGAAAAATAGAGGAATTCCAGCCTGTGCTCTTGATGGCACGCTCACTTTGCAAGATACTTAAGATAACAGATAACAGATAATCAGAGTTGGAAGGGACCTTGTATTCATATTTATTTATCCAATAATTGTTTTCTAAATTCAATTTTAGAATGTTAAATAGCATATTTTTAAAATATAAAGGTGATAGGAACACAAAATGTTTATAACATGGGCACTTTTAAAATCATGCTTATTACCACTCAGTTTAAAAGATATGAAGGTACTATTCTTTCCTCTATCCGATGGAAAACCTGGTCTCTTCTGGATTCCATCTGTGACTCAGTGTGAATTCAGCAAACAAGCTGAGGTCAAGTTTTTACTGACCTCCCAAATCTTAGTATGGTTGAGATTCCAATCCAGTCTAGGTATTCAGGGCAAGGCTGTTCTTCATTCTCTCTGGGATTACTATTTAAAGTGTTAGATGTCTAATGGAAATCACACCTTTTCATTCCACATAACCTAGTTTTCTCCCTCAGGTTAAAATCAACCTTCTTGAACCATTATGAGTCTAGCAATATTTCAAAAGATGCATGCACAGATGTGGGGTCTGAACCACGTTTTGTAATCTCCAGGACTGGTGGCATACCTGCAGCAATCAGAAGTAACCAAAGAGATCTGGGCGGATCTCAAGCCCAGATTATGTCATGTTTAACTTTGTCAGTGAGATATCATACAGCAGAAGAGTATTTCTACAGTAAGTCTTGTCTTGAGGAAAGAGGGGGGGAAAGTTCTATTTTAAAACAGCCAAAGATGAATATAAGCTGCCTCCATAGGAAACCTGGGGTTGAAATAAAGGCTATCCCAGGTGGATGTGTTCTCTAATAGGGCATCTTTATGCTCTAATTAGAAAATGAGGTGACCAATGAGCACTAAATCATTTATATGATATGGGGGCCTGCTTGAGAAAATTTAAGCTGGTTAAGAGGTAAAATATGGAAAAGAAAAGACCATGTGATATATTTTAAGAGATGGCGATAAGTTATCAGAATTGTTTGTACTTGTGATGGGGTAGTTATTTCTGTTCTGACCCAAGTACAACAAAAGTTGATGTTAACTCAAAGATTCCTTTATTATTTTGTCGGCAGCCCCTACAAAAAGTTTCTCTCTCACCACAGGCTAACAAGTCCGTCCGTCTGGGAGATGAATAGTTGTCTGCCACATCTATTCATTTCTGCCCCCTGCCTTTTATCCCCAGAGCTAGGGTGGGCCTTCGCTAGCAGTGGTGCTCTTCCTTCCCAAGGATCAGCCCACATATTTCCACTGCTCTCCTCTCCTCTGCCTTCTGCGGATCCGCACATCAGGCACTGGACCCAGTTGTTCCTCCTCTTCCTCATCAGCCATCTCCAGACCTGGGGGCTGTTGACTCTCCATCTGAGGGCTCATGGATGGCCCAGGCTCCAGCTCTGTCTCTCTCTCTCTGCCAGCTCCACTCCCTCTTCCCCTCAGAGCTCTCAGATTGCCTTGATGCTCACCCTGATTCCCACGCCTCCTCCTCCTCTGATTCAGCTGCTGGAGGGGCCGGCGGCCGACAAGCCACAACATTTTTTAAAAAAATTTTCCCTTTGAATGGTCACTTCACACAAGCAAAGTACCAGCAAAAGAGAGGAAAAATAACTCCAGAGAAGTTCCTGAGACAGGAAGTCTAGTCCTGCCAAGAATGTAATAAGGGTTAATGGAGAGGCAGTTTCTGTAAGCAACACCAGAATGTTTCCTTCCTGCCTGCCTTTACAGGATTAGGCCAGTAATTTCTTCTAACAACCGGTTCTCCGAACTGCTTAGAATGTTAACAACCGGTTCTATTAAATAGGCGCGACCCTGTAGAATCCCACCCCTGCACACGCACACCCACACACCCAGAATTTATGCTAAAAAAGGGAGAGGGTACCAGAACATACCAAAAATACCTGTGCATGGGTTTCAAGTCTGAGGGAATGTAGGCATCTTCTAAATATCTCTTTAGCAAAACTTTTGTAAAATAAGATAAGAAGAAACGAATTTCTGCTTCAGATAAAAAGGAAGTTGTAAAAATCAATTATGATAGGTTGATTAAACCCAACTTTACTTACAAGTATATCCAGCTTTTAGGGTATAACTGGCCAATGGAGCATAGTCATGTATGAAACTGGGAGTCTCTCTCATGCATAACCCTGAAATATAAACTTCTGGCTAAAAGATTCACTAAAGTAGGCATGTCCATCCCGGGGCCCACATGCAGTCCTGGCCAGATAGTCATATGGCCCCACAAGATCATAAACATATTTAAAAAATAAAGGTAGTTTATTAACTATTAACATTAACTCTATTATATATTTTACTAGCTCTATACTGTGCTTCACTATGAAACTATGTGGTCAGGCTTAGTTTTTGGGGAGGAAAATAAGGGGGGAAAATTCTGCCTCTGCTTACCAGCATCCATCGGTATTCATCTGGCTAGCATCCTGTCAGTGTGTGAGAGAGTTGAGAGCTGTTTGGAAACTGAAACAGTATTTGCTGTGTGAGCAAGAAGGAGACAGCCTGGGCGAGGCTTAGCTCAACTATTCATTACTAAAGCTGCTTGGTGCTGTGAAAATAAAACCGAAACTCCTCTCCTCTGCTTGTGTTTTGATTTTGGAATAGATTTCTTTTCAGCTGGGGAGGGGGAGTAGAACTCCTTAGCATCAGAGCGTGTTAATAATAATATACAAAATACTAATGCTCTGTTGATCATTTCAAAAAATCCTTTCTTAGAGAGCACCTAGAAGCCAAGAGCAACATATGTACCAAATTTCAAGTTGGTAGACTTTACAGTTCTGGAGATTTTGTGATGATGCTTGAGTGGTATTTCACTTATATATATATATATATATATAGATAAGCAACAATTTCTCTTCACTAAATGCGGTCTAGGCAAGCCAAAACACTGGACAACCACGCACTAAAATAACCTCTAAAATAGAAGTTTGGGATAGCTTTCTCTTTACCCTTTTCAGCTTTCGTATGAAGAGAGTTAACAGGAGCCAGAAGAGTGTGGCTGCCAAACAGGTGCAGGTCAATGTTATTAGCTCCAGATTTGAGTTTTCAGATGTTCCTAAAAACAAGCAAGCAAACCAACAAGTTTATTGTAAATACCAACATTAGTTTCTATAAGAATAAATGCAGAGCTTAACATATATTGAAATATAATTGTAGTACACAGTTGTTTCCTTTTTAAGCAGCATCAATTGAACCAGTAAGAGTGGCAACAGATATCATCATTAGTCAATGACAACACAGTTCTCTGAATTCCTGGCTACCATATTGTTATTATATATACCTTACTGCTGTACCGGGGGTGGCTGCTGGGGGTTCGCAGAGGTCCAGGAAAACCCCTAGCTAAGATTCTGTGCAGTTCGGGCAACCCCCAAATCCCATTCCTGCATGGACCCGCCCACTCCCCTCCTCCCCTCCCAGGAGTCCCCACGCCAGAGGTGGTATTCAGCAGGTTCTGACCAGTTCTGGAGAACCAGTAGTGGAAATTTTCAGTAGTTTGGAGAACCGGCAAATACCACCTCTGACTGGAGATTTTACAGTATCCTTCTCCTGCCATGCCCACCAAGCCACGCACACAGAAACCGGTAGTAAAAAAAAATTGAATCCCACCATTGCCCCACGTGGCCCATTTGGGATGCAGGTGAGTGCAGGGCGTACACGGAGGCTCAGGAAGGGTGAAAAACAGGCCAATCGGAAGTCCGGGAAGGCCTCCAGAGCCTGGGGAGGCCATTTTTGCCCTCCCGGAGGCTCGAGGAAAGCCTCCGGAGCCCAGGAGGGCAAAAACACCCCTTCCCACCGTGGTCCAGGAGGCCGACTAGGCCACACCCACCCAGCAACTGGGTAGAGAACCCCTTGCTAAATTTTTTGAACCCCACCCCTGTGCTGTACTAAATGATATCATAGTATTACTATATAACTATACTGTACTATATTATTGTACTATACTGTATACTTCATTATTATAGCTGCAATTTAAGTATAATAATGCCAAGCTCTTATAACCATTCTGAGCCAGCTGTAGTTTCAAGACCTTCTTTCAGGATATTCTCAAATTAAAATGTCGGTCTTAATTTTAAGAGCTTCAAATGAGTTAGGCTGTTGGCTGGCCTCCATAGCCCAATGCCAAGAAAATGTGTGTTTGGTTTTAAGTGAACTGCTCTGAGGCGGTGGCTGTCGGCTTCATTGGAATCTGGGTGGCTGCATTAAAAGCTCCTCATCTGGCGTCCTGCCTCCTTTTCAGAGATGGATAAATAAGCTGACTAACTGAAGTAGCAGTGTCCCTGGTGCAGGGTCAAATAATCAAGATAGGAGCTGTGATGGTATGATCCTAAGCTTCATCTATTTTTTTCCATGGGCATCACAACTTAGAGAAAATGATGTATTTAACCTCTTACAAAGCCAATTCACAAGGCCATCACATTTTAATTCCTGTGAAAGTTTTCACTTAATCAAAAACAAACAACCTGAAACTAGATCGGGCCATTATCAGAACAAGGAACAGATGGGTACTTTTGTCTACGCAACAGAGATTTGCTTCTAACACAGGTAGGAGAAAGAAGTGCAAGAAAATTGATTATTATAAATAGTTTTTGACTTTGATATACCACAGTCTTCAGAAGTCTTTTAGAATGGAAAACATAGGTTTCTTTTATATATATAAAATGAATCTATTTATCTGGTCTTCATGTCTTTAAAAATATATTCCTGAAGTGTTGCCTTCTCACTTGAAAAAACCTGGCATATAATAAAAGTATATATATTTTCAGATAGAAATATTGTATTCATGCTAATTTCCATTCTCAGATATGTTCTCAGAGAATTCCCATAATCTATAGAATACTTCAGAAACTCTCACGTATTCTTATTGGAATTGTTGTGTAATGATTCCATATACAAAAAGCCGTGGATATAGTGTCAGTCAGAAATTGTTGGTCTAGAAGAAATCATCTCTGCAAAATAGTTTACACATTTTGTGGAAAATAAATGTTGTGAAGACAAAAGCTAATATGGATGAGGGGCTGCCACAGGGAGGAAGGGGTCAAGCTATTTTCTAAAGCGCCTGTAAGCCAGACAAGGAATGGAAACTGAACAAGGAGAGATTTCACCTGGAAACAAGGAGAAACTTTCTGACAGTGAGAACAATCAACCAATGGAACAGCTTGCCCTTGGAAGTTGTGGGAGCGCCATCACTTGAGACTTTCAAGAAGAGATTGGACTGCCATTTGTCAGACATGGTGTAGGGTCTCCCACTTGGGCGGGGGATTGGACTAGATGACCTACAAGGTCCCTTCCAACTCTGATTATCTGTATTATCTGGATGCTAATAACTATACATTCTTATATGGGTCCATTTCTGTCCATTCTTCCATACGTTTTAGGTGATTCTTGGCACCAGCTTCAATTTTTAGAAATTTCAGCAAATTAAATGGTCTTAATGGTCTTAAGGCTGAATAAAGCGCAGAAGAGAAAGATAATATAAATAAAAAAACTGTTAGTATGGATACTCCAGATTTTGTCTTTTTATTTGTGGTCACACACCTTACTCAAGGTCTACACATGGTACTTTTCAATTTACAGAATGGCCTATCTTACATTCTATTTCCTCAAATTAGTATCCTGTACATTTAGGATATAAGTAATGTCAGTGGTTACTCAAATCAGTGTATTGTTAACAAAAATCATGAAAAATATTTTGTATATCACATATGTCAATTCTGATAAAAATATTTTGAATTGATTGAAAGAATCCTCACTTTTGTGACACAGGTAGTAGCTCCATGCTGCCATTTCTTTGTGCTATTATACAAAATTTCCAGTTTGCTTGTAACTCTTGCATGTTCAAGATTTCCCAGGATAGTAATAAGCACAACGAACTGTTTTGAATTGTCAAGTCAGTGCAACAACATGCTGCTCAATGGTCACTGGTTCACTTGTTGCTTTATATTTGTTAACATTCCCCATCAGCAACAGATTTACTTAATTTTTAAAAGACGGCTTTTTTCTCACCTTTATAAGTAACTCAAGTACCTACTACTTCTTTCTTCTCTTCTTATTTTCCTCACAACAACAATTCTATGAGGTGAATTGGGCTGAGAAAGAGTGACTGGCGAAAAGCCACTCAACTGCCTTTCATTCCTTTTTTTTTTTTTTTTTTTGAAAATTTTATTTGGGTTTTCACAAAAACAAAATACAAATAAAACATCTTTTTTTGGAAATAACATGGTCCCAGTTTATCACTTCTTCATACAGACACAAACTCAATTTCATGCTCATTTTTATGGTCTATTCCACATCTTATTACTGTTTTATATTTTCTACATAGTTTCTCCCCTCTTTTAATTTTCTCAACTTTATTTTAATTATCTCATCTCAATTCAAATCATTATATTTATACTTTTGTCTGTCCTGTTTCAATTTCATATTATCTTTTCTCATTAAACAAATTTTCCTCTGTAGTTACTAATTGGAGTATGATACCTTTATATCTTTTAATTTTATCCATTCAAACTCTTATTTAAGCTTCAATGTATACCTTTAAGATTATAGCATTCAATATAATACATAACTTCCAATTGAATTCTGCTTGGTACCTTCTTAAAATACACACTATATTCTTAAAAAGAAAAGATTATATATATATGTAAATAAATCACACATTCCATTCCAATTCAATTCTATCATTAATATTCATTAAAATCTTAACATCTTTAACATTTCTTTTCAATTAAATATCATACTTCCTTGGGAACACTTATAAACTTTCCATAATTAATTCTTTTTTTTCCATATTTCTCACTTATATTTTTTATAAATCATTAATAATAATTAAAATGTTCCCATCCTTTTCTAATTTAATTATCTCATTCACTTTAATTCATTTATTTATTAACAAACATTCCATTACATTACAGTGAATATTTTATCCATCATTTTAGTCATATTTTCTAAAATTATTTCTATTTGTAATATAACAATGCTATCTTATGTACCTTTGCAGAATCCCTTTTGCAATTAAATTTTCACCCATTATCTCTAAACAAGCTTATGGTTACAATCCTTATATCTTTTTCCTGTTTCTCCATTTCTTGTTTCTGTCTTTTACAACTTCTTTACCTTACCTTATTCCCCCTCTTCTTCTCCCTCCCCTTTTTACCCCCTCGTCTCTCTACTTCTAATTCTCTCATCTGTAATCCCCTCTTCTGTTGCTTTCTAATATTATACTTATCTTTCAAACTCTTCTTCTTCTTTTTGGTTGTTTTTTCTAGTCTTAAACCTTTCACTCTCTTTCCCCCTTTTCCTTTTTTCCCCCCACTTAAAATTATTTGATCATTAAAGATGGCTTCTTCTTTGTCCTGATCTTCTTGTTCTGCAAGCACTTCTTGTTGTTTCTCATAGTTCCAGATCTCCATATCTAACAATTGAAATACGAAGCCAAAAGAACCTCTCCCTTCGTGCATCTTCTTTCTATTTTTTAAGTTCCATTTTCAGTTCTTCTAAGAGTGATGCCATTTTAAACACTTTTAAACAACCACCCGATTAGTTTTAGTCATTTAGATGCAAAAACCAAAAATCACCAAGTAATCCAAATAATCCAAGGCTGTTTCTTCTTGCTTCTTTTTTCCACTTTCTCTTCCTGGGGTTCTATTATTTTGTTGCCAAGTTTCAGTTAGGATGTATCTTTGGGGAATCTTGTTAAAGTTTCACTGTAAGTTCCTTTTAGTTACAGTTCCATTCCTTAGTTCCAGGCAGTCTCCTCCATTTTTCCAGATCCTACCCTTTTATTCTTTTTTTTCTCCTTTCCTGCTTTTAAAAACTTTTAAATATCCAGAAATTTTTATTATCCCTTTGACTTTTATTTTCAGCTTAAATGTCTATTAATGTCAAAGTGGATTTTTTCCCCAATATCTTGCTTAAGTCTCTTAGCTGTCAGTATATGAAAGGGAAGAAAAAAAAACCCTAATCCTTTCCCTTTTTTCTCTCCTTTGCTGCTTCAAAATCTTCTTTGGGAACAATGGTATTTAGTTTAAATTCCAGGGTACCTTACATTATTGCTTTTTCAGTTTAACCCAGTCGACCAAAACTTTCTCTTCTTATCTTCCTCCTGCACATTCTTTTTCGGTTCAGTTCTTCTTTGAGGTGGCCATTTCTGGCCACCACTGCAACCGCCTTCGGGAAAGGGAGTAATGGCCAGCTGGGGAAGAGAGATGAGGCTCTCCTCGACCCTGCTGGCAGTCTCTCCCCTCTTCACCACCTCTACGGGGTGGCTTAGCCCCAAAACCAGCTGGCTCGTAGCACTCCGGCGGCGAGCACAGATCGAGACTGCACACGATCGCGGATTTCGGTCTGTTGCCGAAGAGACTCAAACCGGAATCTTACTGGCTTTCATTCCTAAGGTGGGCCTAGAACTCACAGTCTCCTGGTTCCTAGGCCAGCACCTTAATCACGACTCCAAACTGGTTCTGATCCCAGCTACATATCTCAAAAGCTATAATCCTTAGATAAGATGTTCTCTGTGATCGTGGTCTGATTGGATTCTGCATGATCAAGTGCCACAAGAACATGTACAAATGAATGATTGAAGAGGTGGGAAAAGATAGGAGAAAGAAAGAAAAAAAGTAGAATCTAAATCGAAGAAAAAATAATTATTATAACATAATTCTCTTTATACATCCCCAGTAAAATATTTATTTCAATTCTTGGAATTGTATCCAGGGGTGGGATTCTACCAGTTCACACCTATTTGCTAGAACCGGTTGTTAACATTCTAAGCAGTTTGGAGTACCAGTTCTTAGAAGAAATTACTGGACTAATCCTGTAAGGAAGGCAGGAGAGAAACATTCTGGTGTTGCTTACAGAAACTGCCTCTCCATTAACCCTTATTACATTCTTGGCAGGACTAGACTTCCTGTCTCAAGGCCGTCTCTGGAGTCATTTTTCCACTCCTTTGCTGGTACTTTGCTTGTGTGGAGTGACCATTCAAAGTTACAATGGCACTGAAAAAAGTGACTTAAACCATTTTTCACACTTACGACTGCTGCAGCATCCCCACAGTCATGAGAGGCCAGGCGAGGAGATGCATGCCTCGATGTGAGTGATATTGAGTTGGCCATGCCCAGCCAATAACATGACCACCAAGCCATGCCCACCAACTTAGCCACGCCCACAGAACCGGTTGTTAAAAAATTTGAATCCCACCCCTGATTGTATCCCAATCATATATGCAATTTCTGTAAAACCTCCTGTAACTCTGACTCAACATCTGCTGAGCAAACTGTGGAACAGGCAGATCTGGAATATGATTTTCCAGGAATGTGTCTTGCTGTTCAGCCTTCCAGTCCACTGTTATTCTTGGCAAAAGAAAGAGGGAATGATTAATGTTTTCCTTGTGGGGTTCTTGACTAGTCCAGAAGTCTATAATGCCTATTTTAAGTGACTTTATGAAGGGGCAGTCACATTCTTGGTTTCCTTCAACTGTTTCTTTTCCTAAGGCAGCCTCTTCATAGTATTAACCAGATTCCTACTTATAATCATTTCTGATATACTGTAGTTCTTATCAGAGTGTGTGAAAAAAGTCAGACTTGAACAAATGTTTACTAAACCTAACAATAGCCTATGGTAATTCAGAGTCACTTGAAAATGAATAGTAAAGTTTGGTCTTGTAATGCTAGTCCCGTGCAGTACATTGAAAGACATAGAAAGTTATATTTAGGAAGTTCCTAGAAAGAATGAATTAAACTTTTATTAGGGTTAAAAATCAACAGCCAAAGAAGACAACACTGATACAAAAGCTAGATTGAGATGCACATTGTCAATTTCACATTTTTATGGGAATATCTCAAATGTTGATGGACTATCTCTTTCTTTTCCTTCCTTCCTTCCTTCCTTCCTTCCTTCCTTCCTTCCTTCCTTACTTACTTACTTACTTACTTACTTTTACTTACTTACTTATTTCTTTATTGGATAGATGTGTAAGCTGCCCATTTTAAAGCAGAACTCTGTCATTTTTTAAAAAGTTTTTTATTTAGAACTCTGTTCTCATTATCTCATATTGGGTTTTACATGCTGCACAGAATTTGGCTATGATGTATGCAATGTGTAAACTTCAATAAAATTATTTATATAAAAATAAATATTTAGTAGAAGATAGGAATAATATTTTTTTATAATCTGGCAGTAAAAATATAATGGGATCCCTATGTATGGATCCTTATTCTAGCCATCATTTATTCATTAATAATCTTATTTAGCCCAGCTTCCTGATTTTGTTCTATTTCAATATTTTTTCTTATCTCCTTTCCTCCCTTCCATCTCTCCCTTTCTCCCTTGTTCTTCCTTCCTTCCTTCCTTCCTTCCTTCCTTCCTTCCTTCCTTCCTTCCTTCCTTCCTTCCTTCCTTCCTTTCTTTCTTTTTTTCTTTTCCACTTGGATTCCATTCAGTAATAACATTTTTTTTTTGCAAAAGAGTTTTAATATTGGCAGTTTTATTTTTGATCCCTTTCTTAATGGTCCCTAACATGAAAGTGATTAAATTAAGTTTATAAATAATTAATAGATGGAGCATCACTTCCATGTGTTCCAATCTGATACTCTAGAAATATTCCAAGATTAGGACACTTAACTGTTGAAAGCACTTGCTGAATCCTGCTCTGTCATCATCCCTTTTCGATACAAAAATAGTAGTCAGTAAGGAAATAAAAAGAGCAGACGGTTTCCTTCCTCTCTGAATCACAAACTATTTTTTCCCCCACAAATCTGTCAAACATAGGGACAATACATTGATACGATCTCATTGAAGCTCCTGGTCTTACTCCTCCTTAAAAAATATATGTACTGGCTTGGCAGTCACATAGACAGACAATTCATTAGCTTATTGTATGCTTGTTATATGACCTAATCAGACTTAAAACACAGAGCTACACTATACGTAAATTACTGGAGCAATGAATGATTTCAGAAGCAACAGCAACATCAGGTTTTGTTTGCTTGGGCTAAGAACCCTGGAGATTATTGTATATAATTGTTTTATGGTTTTATTGTGTTATTTAAAAAGAATATAACTGGAAATAAAAGGACATCTAGATAAGTTACAGTCTACTTCTCACAGTAGATTTTGAGAGGGGGAAAATTGATTTTCTCAAATATCAGGCACACATAGAAAAAATGATTTTTCCAAAATTATATGGTTTTATTTAGATAATTAAAATAATTACGAGAAGGAGTGATATACATTAACATAAACATGAAATACAGTGTTGATACATTGCTTTCACCTATTCTTTTAGGAAATGAGTAAACAGTTAGATGAGAACCATGGTATAAAAGTGAGATTATCCAGTAAACTGTTTTATTTACTATGTTCCATGTTACAGCCTACCTTTAATTTGTTTGAAAATAAGCTTAGCTAGACAGAGAATACTAATAGATTAGATAGATGATAGACAGAGAGACAGACAGATGATAGATGATAAATGGATGGATGGGTGGGTGGGTGGGTGGGTGGGTGGATGGATAGATAGATAGATAGATAGATAGATAGATAGATAGATAGATAGATGGATGGATGTGGATGTGGATGTGGATGTGGATGTGGATGTGGATGATGTAGATGAAGATGAAGATGAAGATGATGTAGATGTAGATGTAAGGCTCCTAATCACTGGGTGGAAGGTGTTCCACAAGATATGACTTTGAGGCCCAAGAATTTGGCATGATTTGCTGGATGGGATTTGGAGCATGCCTTAATGGGATTTGGAGCATGCCCTCCCTGATAGACCCAGTGTGGTACATAAAAACAAGGCTGGATAGATAGTCCCACAAATAGTCTGGTCCTGTGCCATGTAGGGTGGTAACTCAGCACCATGTGTTGGACCTTTCAGCCTACTCAGAGGTCACAATTCTCAAACAAGACTATCAGTTTTAATGAATGAAAGAAGAAAGCAGAAATAAATAACTCCAGGATGAATCAAATAGGTCACTCAGTTTATAGTCTGGAACAGGAAGTGAAGCAAGCAATGAGGCTAAATATACATACCCCTTCTATTCTGACTCTTGTTTGTTGGAATGCAACAAAACTTATTTTCAGGTCAATATAAACACTTTCTGATTAAGTGTTTCCCGTTAGCTGTCCCGTTGACCTATTGCATTTCCTTTGTTAAAGCTTTGTTCAACAGAAATAAAAGTAGCATGTCCTAGATAAGATGCCCCTTACCTGTTTTTCTGTGAGGAACAAGAACTGCTTTATAAAGATCAGTTGAGAATTTTAGGAAAGATCAAGCAGGAAAAATCAAGCAACAAAAACCATTGCCTAAGGTTTCATTACCTTGTATTGTAACATAGGCTGAACTTGTCACCATTCCTTTCAGATTAGTGGCTATACATTGATAGGATCCAGCATCACTCTCTTGTACTCTTTCAATCAAGAGACTCTGATTTCCTGGCCCTAATATTATACCTGCAGAATTGGAACGATTCAAAATGAGTAGCTCATAAACACGGAGCATAACTTGTGAAAGAAAATCCTATTATGATGGATATTGCAGTTATAAACTAGCCCCGAAGTTGTGATACGCCCTGCAAAACAAAGACATTGCAATGTTTACTTGGGATATGGAAGTAATGGATGTTATCGCAGGCAATTACAAGAGCTGGAAAGCACAATTGGGATTAGTGAGGAACAATTTTTTTTTAAAAAAAAGAAGAAATGAGGTTCCTCCTTTTTTTTCTACAAAAGAAATACACAGTTGACAGATGTAAAGCTCTGAATCTAGAATATGGTTTTCCAAGGAAGGTCTTTTTGAACTAGAAAACAACCACCAATCCTTTGTGCATGAAGATTTTGACATCATCCCTGCCAACAATATTCCTATCCATTGAATATAATTTTTGAGAAATTGTCACAAATAAATTTGCCCAGGATGAGAGGCAGATGTCTGCTGATAAATGTTCTTGGATGTTTGGAACTGAAATGTCATAGTTTCTCCTTACAGTAATAATGATATTGTATCTCTTGTACTGAGTTTTAATCAGATTGCGTTAGTTATTATCCTTTATCTATGGTGGCATGTTCAAATGTGGGTTTTTATTCAGTGAAGTATTAAACCAGGTTGACAATTATGTTAAATATGTATGCAAATACTAATGTGAATTATGTTCTTTTGTATAATTAATGAAATATGTTTATTTCATAAATAATAATGAAGTAGTTGATGACTTTTGATGACTGATGGCTATTAAGTAGAATTTGGGCACCTGATTGAGTTCTGCATTGGAAAAGACTTTAGCCAACCAAATTATTTTGAGATGAATTCCAAGCATTTATCTATGACCTCCCTGTGAATAAAACATTTTTTGTTTATGATTGACTTGTTTCTCCTATAGGTATGTTTTTATGCAAAAACATGTTTAACAAACATTACTGAAATGACAGAGGCTTTGGCACTCTTTACCTTCTTGGACTATGTCCTAAAAACTTTACCTTATATTGGAGCAAAGCAATGAAAGAGTATTCATGTGACTATTCCAGCACAAGGGTACAATTTAAGAAGGTTTCAAGTTAGTAAATCGCTTGAAACATGTAATGTGCTGGCAGATTATCTCTATCTTTCTCTCTCTCCTTCTCCCTCTCCCTCTCTCACACGTGCACATCCTAGAAAACTAGAATCTGAAATAAAGACTAACCTAACCCTTGAGTCAAGGACAGGCTAATGAACAAGAGGTTTCTGAATTGATCTAGAAGCAGTTCAATTTTGTAATCAGTAGCTCAATATTGCAGGAGAAGTTGGTTGAACTATTTCACGTGAAACAGAAAAATACAAGGAATCTTAAGTAGAAACAAAAAATCAATGGGTGCTGCACTCACCTGGCTCTTGATGTATCTGTTTGTTGTTTTTATACCATGATACCTGGGGCTCTGGCACACCATGTACAGAACACTGCAGGCTAAGAGAGTAGCTGGTGTTGACCACCTGATCAGTGGCATTCCGAAGGAGATAGGGGGCTTCCTGAGCTACAAAACATATTAACAAAACAATTAGTACATTCCTAATGCCATGGCATCGTGTTCTGTTTCATCCCAATTGCCTGTTCTACATTGTGGTTGTTTTCCAATTTGCCTTTTACATGCTTATACAAGGATCTCAGGTTTTTTTTTTTTAATAGAAAAGCACCATAGAAAATGATATGTACAGAACAGAGAATACAAGACTTATTGCTGCTATGTGCTTATTTTTATTGCATGTATGAAAAAGTGTAATCTAACTGTGTAATCTTCTGCATATGTATTGAGAAATTAATCACTTACCCTCAATGCTAGATTCAATATTTTTCCGTGACCATATAATCTTGAGAATATATTCCACTGAAGAATTTGAGATTAGATTCTACATATTCATCCATAAGCTAGGACTGTATTTTTAGGACAGGACAGCATGGATAGTATGGGATGGGATGGATAGGATAGGACAGGACAGGACAGGATGGATAGTATGGGATGGATAGGGTAGGACAGGACAGGATGGATAGGAAGGATAGGATGGGACAGGATGAGGTGGGATGGGATAGGATAGGATGCCTAAATGCATTTACTTTCACTTGTAATCATTTATTAATAGGAATAAAACGCACTATGACAAATGAGCATAGTGGAAGATTTGGCAAGTGTTTTTACACCAATTTAACAGTAAATTCTCCATAAAAAATGGAAAATTAATAACGGAAGTAAAAGCAAAATGCCACAATGATCATGATAAAAAAAATCAAAGAAATGCATAATTGGAAATGCAACACTATACTGTTAACCACTGTCAGTGCAATCATATTGCTAATTACTGTGTAACACATTTGTATCCCAAGTGAAGTGTGATGATCTTATAAAGGGTTGTGAATGATTTTATAACTTGTGGATTGGTACAACTGATCCAATAATAATATTAAATCAGCTTTACATGGAACAGCTTACAGCCTGGGATGATACCTCTAAGAGCATCAAACAACATCTGCCTATCCCAGGTTCTTGGGAAAGACTTGATGGGTAGATTAAAAAAATATCATATGTGTCTAAGTATGAATGTGTGTGCATGGAATATAATTCAAGTTTTTCTTTAAAGAATACATATATCAACTATAACACCTGATATATTCAGAATAACACCTTGAAGTTCTTCTAGTCCAACCGCCTGCTTAAGCACGAAACCCTATACCATTTCAGACAAATGGTTGTCCAATGCTAATACAATCTTTATAAAGTTAAATTCGCTTCTTCGAATGAATTGTCATTGTTCACCATGTAGGATGTTTTAACCAGCAGTCACAATAAAGGATTCAACATTTCAAATGTTACATTTATTTCCCTGATTATCATGAAGTTTCAGGCACCTTTGGATGTTCTCATCCTGCCACCAAACCACACAACTTGGATACCCTATTCCTGTTCCATTATCTTTGTATGATCCTGTATCCTCTTTGCATACAGATAGGTGATTTCTGAATCATGCAACGGAAAAATAAAGAAGAAATAGATGGCTCTGAATTGTCATTTTGGCTACCTCTTTCAAATGACCCTGTTACAAAACTTTCAAGTAAGAGTTTTTAGTGTAACAATGAGGAATGATTGTTGGTAGAGTAAAATGTTTCTCAGACTGTTTTCATGTTGACAGTGTTATGTTCCAACGTGATGGGATCAAGGTCAGCATCTGAATTGTTCTTACAATGGACACTTCCTCTTTTTGTAGGAAATTCAGACTCTTACCAAGAGCCGATAGCTTATTCTGTCCCTTATTACAGCAAACCAAGTATTTATGAGAACTATATCTGTATACTCTCTTAAAAGCTTAATTTACTACTTATTCACAAAAATGTTGAAAATTAACACTGAAAATGTGGCTTCTTAAAAAGACCTCTGTTACTTGAACAAAATCTCTATTTCTCTACATTAAACTAAGAACTCGTTGCTGCTGTGCAACCAGCCAGCAGTTTCTTTTAACGTACATTATATGTTTGTTTACATAGCATATCTTTAAATGCTGAAGACCTTCTGAATAGTATAGTAAAAATACCGAATGGTATCTTCTATTTATATTTCTATGAAAGGTGATTGGTGTACAAACTATTGAATCATTTTGTTATATTAGTTAATTATAAAAAATAAAGGATTTTTAAATTTTATCTGATGTCTCCTAATTACCAGTGATACATTATTTTATTTTTATTTTTATTTCCTCAATAAGCTATATATAAAATCATGTTTTGAAAATATGTCCATGACAAAAGGATATGAATTTTGCCACCTATATGAATTTTGTATTCTGCAGGATTACTATACATAACAGTGCAATTGAGGCAAGTAGAATGAGTTGGAAAAAAGAGTCACACAATCTAGATGCTTTTTTGATTAAATTTAATTTGTTTACAGCCATACACATATCAAGAAACAATTCCTTACTTTAAATTTGGTTGCATCACTCTCCATATTACTTTTAGTAAGGCTGTCACCGTAACTAGCTGGTTTTGAAATAATTGGTTAAAGCAAAAATTTGATGTTTCCCTGATTCTTACATGTACATTTTCTGATTTTAAGTTTAGGATTTTTCCAAAAGATCTCTAGGTATTTTCCCTTGACAACTGTACTGTACCAATCTCTCTTTGATTTCAGTTGCAACCAGTCTGGCTATTCTGTACACAGTCAACAATGAACTACTTCTGGACTAAAGAAATTACTTGTAAACTGTAGCTCCTCTGATACCAGAAACATGAAAGGGAACTCAGGCATGGTACAAAGTCCTCCGTTACAACAATACAGTTGGTCCCATGCCTTCAGTAGCAGACAGAGAAAAAGAAGTAACCCTGAGACAGAAAAGAAATTCTCTCCCCATAAACATGATCACAAATAAAATGTTATTTTATGTTAAACACTTCTGCCCTCCCATCTTTTTTGTATTTTCGATTTTTTTTAAATATTGCATTATGAAGAGACATATGATCAGCTTCATTTTAAATTGGCAAAAACACATTTGAAATTTAACATGCAGAGTTTCTCCAATCACATAGGCAATGCTAAATTGTTCAGAGAAGACCAAAATGTGCATGTTCCAGTACATGTGCACAATTTACTATTGGTCATGGAGAGTTGGGGGAGTTTAAAAGAGGCTTGTCTAAACTCTTTGCCTTCAGTGGCATCACTGTGGAATACAGAGATTGCATTATATTATAAATTTCAACGTAAGCAACAATGCAGGAAAAACATGTAGCTATCTTTGTAATTCATAGCTCTTTTTATGAATTGTCCAGCTACAAAAAAGCCAGAAACAGTATCTCTTATGTCTGCAATGTCCTATGGAGCATTTTTGAATTCATAGCATTAAGTCAGTATTAAGCTCTAAACTAATAGCACTAATAAGCGTATGTGCCTGTTTTTCAATTCATCTTGTAAACTATATAAATAATTTTTGGGGTGAATCTTACTCTCTACACTTAAACGCTACTCTGTTCTCTAGATCTACTAAAGCAAAATAGGTTTTTGTATACAATCCCCTAAATTCCAATTTTCAGGTTTCTGCTAATTTGTCTTTGGGGAACTCCATCTATAAAATTCACAATCATGTTAGGGCTGCTCTTTCTTTCTTTCTTTCTTTCTTTCTTTCTTTCTTTCTTTCTTTCTTTCTTTCTTTCTTTCTTTCTTTCTTTCTTTCTTTCTTTCTTTTTCTCTCTCTGTCTCTGTCTCTGTCTCTGTCTTTCTCTCTTTCTCTCTCTTTGTCTCTCTCTCTCTCTCTTTCTCTCTCCTCCTCCTCCTCCTCCTCCTCCTCCTCCTCCTCCT